TAATAAAAAAAAAAAAAAACGAATGACAGCAAAAAAACGAAAAAATTTTTGTATATCCGCATTGAAATAATTAAATCGCTTAATTGCCTTTCTTCCTTAATCGACAAAAAAATGAATAAAAACAGAATTAATTTTGAGAAAGTGGCGCATTTTTATGCAAAAAATTGTTTTTTTAGTGTTAAAAAAACGAAATATCTCGTCTACTTGTAGAAGCATTAAATTTGTTGATGAAAGAAAATAAGAAGAAATTTAAGAAACTAAAATTTCAAAAAAACTTTCTTTTTTTATAATACTGCACTGAAATTACCAAAAAGTAAAAAATAAAAAAAAGTTGAAGTATTATATTTTTACTTCTGCAGTTAAATATACAAGGAAAAAACGTGAGGTGAAGAATAAGTCCATTAAAATTTGCTTTCACCCTAAGCCTCTTTCAAGCCATATCCGGGCCGAGATGCATCCTCGTTGTCACCAATATTTCCATTCACCTCGCAGTTTAACAACGGTCTTGATGTGAATCCGGGTACTCGAGTAACTGTTGATGGTAACCTCAATGTACCAATTATGGGTTGGGGTATATGGGACTATAAAGGTTAGTCTAAATTATTCCGAAAGTAACATCAAAAAGACTTTACTCAACGAAATTAGGCATAGATTATTCCAGTCATTCTGTCTTGCAGCAAAATTTCAGCAAACCATTTGAGGCTATTGAATTGGAATAGTGCGAAAGTACTCCAGCTAACCGTAGCCAAAGTGTCTGTTTCAGTAATAAAGTTTAGGTGGTGTCAAGGTTGGGAGACCAAATACACGTGTTGGTTTTGGCACATTAGTGAGACCAACGAATGTACTCGGCATAAGTCCAGAAACTATAGCGATACTTGGTTCGAATGGATTATTCAACGAAGCTAGACGTAAGTTAGTACCAGTAGTAACCTCCAATTGTCCTAATGCTTATTTATCCATACTCTTAAAGTGTTTTTTCTTCTTCCGTTTTTTTTTTCTTGACGAAATCATTAGTTAAAAAACCAAAAAAAAATCGCTCTTTACAGTTCTTATAAAATAATAGTATTTTGGATTACTTCATTTAGAAAAAGTTGCTCAATGACTGTTTGGGTAAATTCAGTTATAAAAATGCATTTCAAAGAAGAAATGGAGAGGTTGAAATGAAAAACAAAATAGGGTAAAAAAAGCTTAAAAAGCCGGAGTTCATGGAGCTACCAATTATAACGCTATTGCTTTCGCTATTGACCAAAGGCTAAAAAGCATAATCAGATAATTGTTTGCTGCAGCATTTTAATTATAACTATAGCTCCTATAAGAGTCCCTTTTTATAATGTTTCATTACCAACCTCCAAAAGAATAAATTTATCTGTTACATCAAAAATAAACCAAAACATCTGTTTATATACGCAGTGATTTCCTGAAAAAATGCAGGTTTTATTAGAAATATTTAAAATTTTATCATAAAAACTGTCCGAAGAGAACAAAAACACTGACAGAAATCAAAATCACGACTCAGCTAACAAGTTCATTTTCAGTAAATATTTATTGCTTTAAGTTACAGATTGGTTCCTAATACTGTTTAATGTTTGCTTTTGGTAACTACAGTACATAATAAGTGGGCAAAAGAATAAGTAAAGAAGTGAACAAAAAGTGAGTCTGCTTAATAATATGAGGAAAATACTTTTATCAATCAGAATAATATCATATATTTGCTTAGCTGTAAATAGGTTCCAATTTGAAAGCTATTGTCATTATTTTGAAAGAAAATAAACCTGTAGGTAGATAAAACTATTTGTTTTCTCCTCTTTCTTCTATAGTTGTCTAAAAAATAAAAAAGGAGAAGTTTCTTTACATCTGCTTAGCTAAGGCAACCTGTCACTTTAAAAACAACAAATGTTTCTTCATTCGCATAAACAAACCATTCAACAACTGAAACCAAAAAAATGTGAAATTTCACAAATTTTGAAAAATTTCTTAAGAAAAATATTGAGAAACTGATGTGGTAGACTTGTCTAAAATCATTTATATGGATGACTGGCTTTAGTGCAGTGTTTTAACGTCAATAAGCTATCCCTCTGTAACTGAAAATATAAGCATTTCCAATAAAATAGTAAAAATTGGGAAATTACTTGTCATCAACTGTTTTACCAATAACCTTCATTTAATTCCAAAAATTTTTTTCCAATTTTTGTTACTAAACTCTTACGAAAAAAATAAAAATGAAAACGAAAATATACACTAAAAAAACCATTTTTTTTTTTAGGCAAACTACCATCTATCCCAGTTTCTGTATTGCCCGGAAACTTTGTACCACTGAGATGTAAACCACCATTTTGCAATCCGTTTCTGCATAATCTCGCGTTTGGCATTGACGTGGAACCCGGTGACGACATTCTATTTGATGGCGGTAAGCCAAGGATTAAAAAGTTATTTTGTTTGAAAACCACCTGACTTAAATATGACTGGAACTCATTATCCTTTCTTGCTCTTGACAGCATAAGGTTCATAAACTCGCACTGATGCTGAAAAGCTAGAATATTGTCTAAAAGCAACTGAATTATATATTTGTTCTTCAACACCACGAATCTTATGCGGTTGATTAGACTAAAAACTTATGCATTTCTTTCGCGGCTTAACTTAGTCTCATGCTGTCGCGACATCATCTTCACATTACAGTATCGGTTAAAATTTTCAATTTGAGAGTTAACTTTATTTCTGTATTCATCATCGTCTTCGTCACCAAAATTCCATCACGGTCAAGTTCATTCCCAGCGTCCGTTGTCATTCTTGCCGTTGTTGTCTTGATCGCTGATTGTTGCCCGTTGCTGTTGCCAATTTCATTTAACGCAGGACGGAATATTGCTTTTATATAAGCGTTGAATTGAATATCAAAGGCTGCAATGAAAAATCCAATAATTGCATTTCAATTAAACAATCGACAAACACTGGACGAGTTGAATCTATTATCATCTTTGGGCTTCCAGTTTTTAAATATACAAGCCGATT